ACCGCGATCTGTAACAATGTCTACTGGACAGCCGTACCTAGCTATCCATCCAGACAGCAGTGCTTTGGCAACGGTTTCCGCAGTTATATCTACGATAGGTACGACCTCCGGCCATCGTGTAAAGCGATCGACTGCAGTGAGGCAGTATCGAAAGCCTTGCGATGGAGGCAGAGGCCCCACAAGATCGATGTGGACGTGCTTGAACCTTGCACGCGGTAGGTTATATGTCCCTAAAGGCGCAGATACGTGTCGCGTCACTTTGGCACGTTGGCAAGCCAAGCAGGCACGTGACCACTCTCTGCAGTCCTTCCTGATGCTAGGCCACACAAAACGCTCTGCAACTAGTTTTGCTGTAGCGTTCGCGCCTGGATGGCTCAAAGAATGCAGACTTTCAAAAAATTGTCTGCGCAGCACTTTAGGGACAAATGGTCTGGGAGTCGGTGTACTGACATCGCAGTACATGCATGTCCTACTCCCAGGAATGTCATACTTCTCTAAGCGAAGGGACGATCCACCTTTGAGAAGTTCAGCCAGTTCGAGATCTGATGCTTGAGCTTCGGCCAATGTACTGAGATTGACGGGCGCTTGCAGTTCTTCAATTCGAGATAAGGCATCGGCAACAACATTGTCTTTACCAGATATGTGCCTTATGTCGGTCGTGAACTGTGAAATGTAGTCTAGATGTCTATACTGCCTAGGCGAACAGTTGCCTTTCCTCTCGCGGAAAGCAAAACTGATAGGCTTGTGGTCGGTATAGACAATAAAATGTCTCGCCTCTAACATATGCCGAAAATACTTAATGGCCTCATAGATGGCAAGAAGCTCTCTATCGTATGGCGAATATTTTTGCTGCGCAGAACTCATTTTGCGGGAGAAAAACGCAAGCGGTTGCCACGTGCCGTCTTTGTACTGCTGTAATACCGCACCCAAAGCTATATCTGAGGCGTCAGTAACAAGAGCGAGCTTGGAATGTGTGTCAGGGTGAGCTAGTAAAGCTGCTTCAGATAGGCTTAGCTTACAATCGTTAAAAGCCTTACTAGCTTCTCCTGTTAAATTTATTGGTTGTAAACCTTTTGTGGCTCCTGCAAGCAATGCATTTAAGGGAGCTTGAATGCGCGCAGCGTTAGGCAAAAATCGCCGGTAGAAATTTATCATGCCCAGAAATCTTCTGAGCTGGCGAACGTTTTTGGGCGAAGGAAAATCTTTAATCGCCTGAACTTTCTCCTGGAGAGGCTTAATACCATTGGCGGAAATTTTATAACCCAAAAATGTTACTTCAGACGCACCGAAAACACATTTAGAGGTGTTGATCAACATCCCATACTCCTTCAGTCGGTTAAATATCTGGCGTAAATGCTCCTCGTGCTCCGACTCGCTCCTCGAGAATATTAAAAAGTCATCCAGGTAACAATAACAAAAATCTAAACCACGCGTGACCTCATCAACGAACCTTTGGAAGGTTTGACTTCCATTACGCAAACCGTAATTCATATACTTAAATTCGTATAAACCAAATGGTGTAGTAATCGCGGTTTTAGGTATGTCTAATTCACTGACAGGTATCTGATTATAGGCCTTAACAAGGTCTAAGTTAGTAAATATGTTACATCCAGCGATGCTATGAGTAAAGTCATGGATGTGCCTTATGGGATACCTATCAGGAATAGTCCTAGCATTAAGCAACCTGTAATCGCCACAGGGTCGCCAGCCATTCTCTTTTTTGGAAACTAAATGTAAGGGAGAGGCCCATGAACTCTCTGATGGTCTGATGATACCGCTAGCAAGCATTGACTCGAATTCTTGTTTCGCGATTTTTAATTTATCCGGGGCAAGACGTCTGGGAGAGCATGAAATAGGAGGACCTGGTGTAGTGCGAATGTGATGTACGGTGTTATGTGGAATGTTACGTTGCATCCCAGCCGGACGTGTTATTTCTGGAAAATCGGCTAGAATATCATGGTACCTCGTGTCACCAGTCGCAACCTTAACGGACGAAACAGCATCTAAATTTTTAACATACAAAGCATTGACAGAAACAGTTGTGGTATTATCTACAAGGCGGTGATTACGACAATCTATAATTAAATTATAAAAAGAGAGAAAGTCTACACCAATAATAGCCTTTGTTACATCGGCAACTACAAAACGCCATTTAAAGTCTCTACGAAGGCCAAGATCAAGAATAAGGTGTACATAACCATACGTGTTGATGACACTCCCGTTGGCTGCACAGAGTTGGTAGGTGGTCTTCGTACGCCGCTCAGGAAGCCATGCACGAGGGAAAACACAGAGGTCACTACCCGTGTCGACCAGGAACTGCCTTTTCGATCTTCGGTCCGTAACAAAGAGACGACCAGTAGAACTTGGGCAATCATCAGTCGCCATTAACGACTGCCCTTCATGTTTTCCGCCTGGAAATCACATGGGCGAACACACCTTTTGGCGTTGACACCGAATTTCGCATGGAACCAACATTTAGGATGCCTTCGATAGGAAGATGCTGATCGGGTTGATGATGAACGTCTGCGACGCTCATGATATTTCGTGCGAGAGCGAGATCTCCGATGAAGGCTTGTTGTTAGGTTTTCCACTTGCTTTCTTAACTCTGCAATTTCTTTGGCCATCAAATCCATCGTGGAACCAGGAGTTGGAGGTGCACAGTAACTGGTGGTAGCTACTTGAGGCAAAGATATAGCAATGTCCTGGATTCTGTCCGCTAAATCTGCTAATATCTCGAGCGAGGCGGTCGGTTGTGCTGCCAGAACTGTCTGGATGTTTGCTGGCAGTCTACTCGTCCAAATTGTCCTCACGAATTCATCCGGAACGCTAGGACCCGCTAGACTTTGCAGGTGCCGGAGAAATTGTGACGGTTTCCTGTCACCGAGCTCTTCATGCATGAGCAATTGCTTAACCTTCCTTTCATGAGACGCACTCAGTCTTTTAATAAGCTCTGACTTAAGCTTTTCGTATTTGTCACTGGCAGGAGGATTCACAATAATGTCTTTTATTTCCTTAGATACCTGATGTTCTAATTGACCAATGACATAATTGAATTTAGTAGAATCATTAGTTATACCTGAAATCGCGAATTGTCCTTCTATCTGAGCAAACCAAATCTCCGGTTCTTCTGGCCAAAATGGCGGAACACGAATTCCAACTTTGCAAATGTCGGAAGGCCCGACAGACATGTGCTCACCACTGTGCTCGCGTTGTTTAGCCATTATAGTGTTAAATACGTATTCAGCTCGGGGTCACCAGTTTAGCAGTTTAGCTGTGGCCGTAGAAAGAAAAGGGGAGATCTCCCGCCGGGCAAGGTGTTCTGCCCGGGGAGCGGCTCACGCTCCAAGTGATAGTTCGGAGAAGTTCTATATATACTGTTTATGATTCGGAATGTTGATAGCGCGATTTAGGCTTCGGTGTGTTTTCGCTTGTGGCGCGACGACAGCGCCGCTACATCACCCCCCTGCTCAGACCGGAGGTCGATAGTGCAGCCTCGTTGCCGACGAATGTGCAAGTGCCAGGAGATTGCCTTGTAGTCTGCGGTGAGTCGAGAAGAAGGCAAGTAATCTGCGAGAGTGCCGTGAAGCAGAGGCGAGCAGTAAGGCTCAGAGCCGTGCCGAACACTGTATAGCGCAGAGAGTAGCTTGAAGGAACAGGAAGCATTATTATTCCAGTGCTGCGATGAACCTTGTGAAGCTAGATGGCTTGCAGGATATGAAGACTGCAGACGATATCTGTTCGGGAGCGAATGGGTGGGGTATTCTATGACGATGATAAAGCTTGAAGTTTCCGAAGGTTGTTTGGTTGCGTGTTCAAATCACGTCGGGGTCACCAGTTTAGCGAGATAAATCGTCAATACAAATAAGTTCACAACACTGATAGTTAAAATGTTTAATTTAATACACAAGCAGGAGATATACAATTTAGCACAAACAAGCAGAAGATACACAAGCCAAGATAGAAGAGTTTATAATAAAAATACAGTCTAGAAAAAGCACAATCAATATTATCGTAATATTTAAAAGTCTATGGCGAGAACAATGGATTAGCGCAAGCGAGCAACATGCGTTCCGCGTCGTAGTGGTAGAACGACTGGTGAACGCGGTGCGCGGAGCGCGGACGCAGGCGATCCGTTTGCCAGCTATGTTAACGGAATTCCGGGCGGCGCGTTCAACGCCCGGCTGTTGCTACGTGCATTGTGTTGAGAGTATATAGTGGTGTAATATATAGTCGTGTAAAAGTATTGTATATGTTGAGTGTGAGAGAGTATGCATGTGTGTATCTGTGTGGCATATGTGTGTGTATATAATGTAGGAAAGTAGCCTACAAACTGATGTTAAACTCAGTATTAAAAACTTTTCTATAAATATGTATTTTTACAAATCCGATATTTTTTTTTCAATGCAATCAGCTTTATAATCTTTGTATAAATCAGCAAGCGTCTTTCCTCCGTCGATAAATTCTCTCGAAGTTTGTTTTTATAGATAGTGACTTTCTATACGAGGTATACTATTGATGTGACGACACACTTCAATTAAATTATCTTCAGGAATGGTTTTTTTTATTACTGCATTTGCCCCTTTGTTCAGGGTCCACTATACCTTGCTCGTTCTTCTTGTCTATCACTGTTCTAATAGGTCGATCACCAATTCCAAGAGTATTTTTAAAAAAATATTTTACACACTGTTTTTTTTTACCATTTATCTCGAAATGGAATGCATTCTTTGGTTTCTGCTGCTATTAAGTCTTTTGTACTAATACTTAGGAAATACGTTAACTAAATTATTAGCTATATAATCTCTTTGACGTGTTAGTGAGCCCAAATTCCAAAACGAGTCAAATAATCTTTTGCGGTCATCTTCTGCAATAATATCACGACATTTAAGCCGACACTTTTCATTACAGGGTCCTCTCATCACCCTTTCTGCAACAATTTTTGATGATGTAGATACGTATGATTGTCCTCGATTTCTTCGAGTCTGAGCTGTCTTTTGTTCCAATTAAATTTTTTTATTAATTCGTCTGATTTTTTTTCGACTATTCCTATTGCCTTCTTCTACAACAGGGTTCAATATGTTAACACTGGCTAGCCCAGGAACTGACGTTAGATTATTAGATTCTAAGGAATGGGTGACAGTAATTTGCCCATCTTCATTGCAGTCATTTCTGATAGTAGTAGGTTGGATTGTAGAGATTTTGTCTAGAGCGGCAGAAGCTAATGACGCCAACGATGGACACTGGTGATTTCTCGTCGAAGAACATTCAGAAGAAGAACTCGACGAAGACGAAGAACTTGACGAGGAAGAGGAACTAGACGAAGAATTGCTCGATGATGAATCTGAAGAAGAAGAAGAGTCTGGTCGTCGACGGTTTGCAGTGGATGGTTTTAATGGTAAGTAACTTGGGTCATCGTCTGAAGCAGGTGAAAAATCACGTGGAGATGCATGACTGGAGGTAGATGACCTGGAATTTCTTCTTTCTGCATGAAGTTGTTCATTTAGATGCAAGTTTTCATCCACATGAAGGAGTTCCTCCTAAAATAAGTAATTATTTTAAATAACAATAAGTAAAAGAAATGCATCTCATAACTCATGCAGTGATATTCTTAGCTGGGTGACTAGGAGAAGAACAAGGAAAAGACAATAAGCTTTTTTAGTTATTAACCGCTTATTGTTTCAAATTGTGGTAAGGTAAGTAGTGTATTCTGAATAGTATTCTTAGTTTGATATTATAAGGTAAGAATCTCCTAATGTTTTAGGTAAGGTAATAAGAAACCTGTTCAGCTTTCTGGTGATCTTTAGGTGTGATTTTTTGGGAAGGCACAATATTAAATCCAAGATTGTGGTTAGAAATATCTTCATTTGCATTTTGGTTAACGTCTTCTTCATTGCGAGTTAATTCACAAAGATTTTTGGAGGTCTGGTGTGTCGTTGGTGTATTTGCGCTTTCTAAATGAACAGCTTCATTCTGGATACCATGACACGTTCTTTTTTGAATTCTTCTTTATCATCTTGTGTGTCCTCAAGCAGTCTTCTAGAAATATTCTTGAGTTTGTTTATTCTCGCATTTTGTAAAGGCATTTTAAGTCTGAAAACAAGCAAATTATGGTCAAAATTACTAAAAGGAAGATCATTTAATTGATTGACTTTAGAAGCGTTAAATTATATGAATAACCAAAACCAATATTAAAATATCCCAATTAATAATGACTCTAAACAAAATTCTTTGTTGGTCTCAGTGTTATTTTCCGTGCTTGCTATTTGGCTTAAAAGGAAGAATGACACAAAAAAATAACATCCTGAATTAATCATCAACTCAAATGTTTCAAATTCTGTAACGCGAAGTGACACTAAATAAAAAACGTCAGTATGTTGTTCCAATTGAATACAAACCCTCTGTTTGGCTTAAGGGAAGAATGACACTAAACGAATAATGACATCCTGAATAATAATCGACTAAAAAATAATAAAAAAATATAAATAATCGACTCAAATACTTTAAATTCCGTAACACGAAGAGCGACACTAAATAAAAAATGTCAGTATGTTGTTCCAATTAAATACAAACTCTCTGTTTGGCTTAAGGGAAGAATGACACAAAACGAATAATAACATCCTGAATTAATAATCGACACAAATAGTTCAAATTCCGTAACACGAAAATCGACACTAAAATAAAAGTGACAGTATGTCGTCCCAACATAGCAATTTTTACAAAATAATATAGCGTAATACACGACACTTATCAAAATGTGACGGTATTCGTATTAAAGTTAATTCGTACTAACGAAATATGGTCAATCCAAATCGCCTTTAACCAGAGAATGTCACTATGGAATACACTAGATGAAACCGTTTTTGTTAACTTCACAGTCACGAATGAAAAAATGGCGGTCTGTGATAACAGAATTTATCAACCATAGACAAACACTATATACCAGGAATAGATGCGCCACTCACATTTCAGTTTTCGATTGAGTGTACCGTGTACGCATAGGAGGAGATGGCTCTCTATTTCTGTATATATAGATTAATATATACAGAAATAGAGAGCCATCTCCTAGGATTTTTTGTCACCCAATATGAATAGTGTCGCCGCCTGGTATCATATCTCTTGAACTAATCTCAATATCATGTTGACTATAGATAGCCGTATGTAGTTATTTATATACAGCTATCTATACTATAGGTATATTTATATTTTAAGGGATTAGGGTTCAATTAAAAACGTATTATAGATTTCAGTAATATTAACATTTATTTTTGTTATATATATTTAACATACACGATGTAAAAGCGTCTATTCCGCAAAATACAACACCAAACCAAATTAAATATGTCCACCGGGTTACCGGAATGATAAATGAAAGCGTCCATTTCGAACAACACTACACAAACATACAATGTAATTACAGCATGAAAATCTAAACAGACAACAAAGAAACAGAGGGCTAATTCCAACTCAACCAAACTTATTGTAGTAACAACCGAAAATCACATAAAGTTGCTACTTGCCATTTCCAGAATAACCAGAATTGGTGTAGTCGCCATCTAGCGCACCTTTTAGAATTTAATGTTCGAAAGTTTATGGGGATATAGTACAAGATGGCACTAGTGTCTTTGCAAATTATTGAGCCCTGACCTAATGTATGGAAGTGTAACCCCCTGCGTGTACGTTAGATGCCGCTGTATTCTTTTAGTACATCGCGGCTTGCGGTAGTTACCACTAGATGGCGTATTTTGTCAATGACTATATTGATATATATGAAATAAGCAATTTTATTATCAATGTTTATGTATGCATTCTACCGGATAATTATTGGATATCTACAATAATTATCTTAAATCTCCAAATAGTAATTTTGTAGATAACATTAACACTAATATAACTTAGCTTATTTCACAAAAGATTTTTGTAATATTAATATGAAAGACTGAAAGTAATTTTAATTATTTATTTATTTTCTTTTATGTATTTTATAATATTTGAAAGCTTGAGCTTTAACATTATCATTTTCACAATCGGTACTTAATAATTTTCCCTTTAGCAGCCTATTAACATTGGTGCACCAACTGTGAACAACCACATTTATTGTTAAATTTAACAAATAATCATAAAGCCTCTTATTATGATTTTCGCAGGAGAGGAACGAAAAGTTGCAAAATATTTTAGTTTTCTGAATTATCGTATCCTTATATTCTTTATTTGTGGTTCTTCAATCAATTGCGTTTGGATTATAAGGTAAACTTCATCTGTGAATGAACACAACGCCTCCGATGGATATTTACATGACTTTTTTGTATAGTCCCTTTCTAAAATATAATCATATTGGGTCGGAGGTGTTGTGCTTAACAATTGCATTTTACACACGTTACAATTCTTACATATATTTTTTATACACTTATGCACTAAACATCCAGCAACATAACGTTTAGCTTCCTTAGTAGTTAAATTGATGGGTTCTGAATTCTCATTTTGTCCAAACAAATTTATTAAAGAATCCACATTTGTATTTGCATCTGGTTTCTCTCCTGTTTCTATTTTTTGCGAATTAATTAAACATTTTAGTGGCTTTAATATTTTGTTATTGTCACGTTCACAGTTTGCGCTAATTGAATGAGGGGAAGTTAAATTATTCACTAACAAAGTTTTATATGCTTCAGTAAATTGGCAGCATGTTGGTGATACATTTCGAATCCTGATTCTGGAAAAGAAATTTTCCAGTGGATCCTGGTTCAGGTTTCTCATTAATAAGCTGCTTACACTGTGTTTAGCGTTTAAATAAGAAAACATTTCTTTTACTACATGGATATTATGTATCCAATTTTGAATTGATGGAACCTTTATAAATTTTGTAGCCCCATCTTTATTTACTTCATAACCCATAGAGTTCAGTATAGGTAAAGCTTCATCCCAGAGCTTAAAATGCAGCGAGTTTTTTCTCAATGCTGCTTTGTATAGTCTTGCACTGTCTTGGTAACAATGACCATTGAAAGAGTCAAATAACTTATCAACTAGTAGCAGCAGATCAGCAGTTGCGAGACATTCTTTTGGCAATAGATTATGATCTGAAAAAGAAAACATTATTAATTATTAAAAATTTAAAGATTTTTACTATTTCCTATTATAATGTGAAGCTGTAGTGGCAATGAATTAGTCATATAGCTCGAAGAACCGACGACCGATGGGGACGAAAGGTTCTCGAGTGGCAGCCTTGTATTGGTAGGGGAAATGTAGAGCGGCCCCAAACTAGATGGAGTGACGACCTAGTAAGACATACAGGAAGTCGATGTATGCAGATAGCTTAAGACCGTACTTTTTTATCATTTGAGAGGTTGGGGAATGCCTATGTTCACCAGTGGACTTGTGAAGGGCTGTAATAACGATGATGATTAATATCCATACTAGTATTATAAATGTGTCTTTCTGCCTGTTACCTTTTTATGGCCATCCAATTGAACGATTTTGGCGAAATTTGGTACAAAGATAGCTTGGGTTCTGTAAACAGATAGAATTTTTTTTTGACAGAAAACCAGAGAGCTCTCTGAATTTTAAAAATCTAAATCCACACAGATGGAATCGCTTGCATCATTTAGTACAGAAATAAAAATACAAACTTGCTAAGAAGCATAAAGCTGCAGATACCCATTGGCTGAAAACTTGAGCTGCATATTTCATTTTCATTTTAGGAACTTTGTCCTTGTTGACGTGCATCTCCGTTAATTTGTTCACCAAGCGAATGTCATGTTCTCCCACATCAATGTCAAGTAACATTCGTAAATGATTCCATTGTGCAACATTTGTTTCTCCGTTTTGGGTGTATTTTAAATTTTTGATCATTAGGTTGTTTCTTAATCCCTTGAGTACATGTGGAGGATCAAAAATTGTAAAGATTTTGCTGTCATCAATTTCAAAAGCCAAACTTTTCCATTCAGTGGCATTACGAAGGTATTTTTCTTTTGTTTCATTAAGAAGATTTTTTTAACTTTCATATTTGTTGGGGATTGGTCACAGATTGTAGACACAATTTTTAAGCCAGTGTTGTTGACTTGTGCTATTACTTCTTTGATTAATTTTTTTTAATTCTACACTGTTTGTTGTACTCTGGCAGAATGTAAAGCAAATCGGTTGTTTAAATTTTCCCTTAAGACTTTTCAGTATAAATACTAATGCATGATCAGCAATTTTTGAGGTCCACCCAAAATCTTCAAAACCAATAATTTCATTCAGGGATTTTTGATAATAAAGTCCTGTCAATGCCACCTCATCAGGCAACTTTTTCACAGTTTTAGCTAATTGTTTCATTATGGTCTCGTTTATGCCAGTAGTTAAAGAGATGCTGCTTAACATTTTTTGCATGGTTCTTTTAGAAGGCAAACCAAAAATTCTTTGCAAGAAGTTATATGTTTTTTGACTTTGCTTGTATATATTGTATATAGTCAAACATAAAATTTTCTCTTTCATGCTGAATCTCCTACCTCTTGGCATTTTTGATGACTTTTAAGTTGCATATTTACCAATATTGCAGCTGGTTCAGGAAGGTTTTCTACAGCATTTAAAAATGCCTGACTCTGTGACAATTTTTTTTGCCTGACAAACCCTCTCATTCAATGTCTTACATTTACTTTTTAATTTCAAAATTCGAGCTTTTAAAGTTCTCAATTCTTTGGAACATTTTTATGTTCGAGTGTTAACTGAAAATAGAAAAAAAATATGTTACTTATAATTTTTTTTTGGTACTTATTAAACTGACTTCTATTTAATAGTGTTACGAGCTTGAGGTTCGTGACAATAAAAATTGCCGATAAAATTACCTAAATTAACACTTTAATTTACTTTACACAAATTAAAGTTAAAAACACTAATAATTAAACACACTAATTCACTTTATTCCGCTCCGAAGCTTCGCTTTTCTCGCCAAATCAACACTGCTCCGATCGCATCTTGCAGCGCCTATTTATTTAAATTAGCAAAGAAATATCCAGAATGTTCGAGTAAACACGCGCAAGGTACCGAGCGTTCGAGTTTCGACTAGGCGCTGTCGGTTGAGTGATTTGTGATGTCATTTTCTCAATGCTCC